CGCCCTTCCTGCCTCCCGCCCTCCCCAGCCCCTGGGTCGGGGCAGGAAACCCCCGCTGCTCCAGCCGGGCGCCCCGCCCCGGTGCCCACCTCAGGCCCGCCCCAAGCCCAGGTCGCGGGGCCTCAAGGACGCTCTTTGTCCTCCCGCCTCCTCCCCACACCTGAGTGCTGAATATAGCCACCGAGTGGTCGCCACAAGCCACACGCTGCCGACAGCCAGAGGTGACTGGGGCGTGGCCGGCCCTGGGCGCTGAGTACACGGCACAGTTCCGACGGCCGGGCGTGACTCAGAGGTCATGGGACAGGACATGCCCGTGCGTGGTCCCCGCCTGGCCTCCGGGCAGCCTCCGGGCTGGTTTGAGAAGCTCGGTGCGGTGACCGTTGCAAAGCCCGAGCAGCGCTGCCCTGGGGCCTGCCCAGGGTCCACCTCCAGAACTCTGGGGGGCAGCAGCCCCGGGGGGCAGACACCTGAGACCACGTCTCAGCCATCTGTCCCCTACGCCCACAACACAGGCAGACTTTATAGCCCCTGCCCTCTGCCACCGTCTGGACCTTGGCTGGGAGGTCAGCCTCCCACCTGACTTAATGTGGGTCGGTGATGTGAGTGGCACCCTGCACCCCACTCCGGGCACAGCCTGAACAGTCACCCAGGGGCTTCACTGTCTTCCTGTCAGCACAGGATCAGGAGCTGAGGCTCCTTACCCCAAACCGTCTGGTCACGAGTAACCTCTGGTCACTGGAGATGACTTAGCGTTCGGCACCCCTGTCCCTCAGGGCTGGGACTTGGGCGCTCACCCCAGAACCCAGCTGCAGACTGATCTCTGAGTGCATCAAGACAGGCTGGGAGGAGATGGGGGAGAGCTGGGTCTCCCCTTGTGTCCCTGGAGCTCCCTGCATGCGGCTGGCACCAGCCAAGGGCAGAGAAGCCCAGAGAGGCCTGGGGGCTCAGGCCGACCGTGACACTGTCTGTCTGGGGTCTCCCCCTCCTTGTGCCCATCCCTGCCCATAGAGGCTCTCCAAGGAGGTGCAGAACGCCCTGGCCAGGGCCAGCAACACGGCCGAGGAGACCATCAGCGCCATGAAGACGGTGCGGAGCTTTGCCAATGAGGAGGAAGAGGCCGAGGTGTACTCGCGGAAGCTGCAGCAGGTGTACCAGCTGAACAGGAAGGAGGCGGCCGCCTACACCTACTACGTCTGGGGCAGCGGGGTGCGTGCCCCTGGCCCCGGGCCGGTCCCACCGCGGGGGGACGGGGCACGAAGGCGGGGGCCCTCGCTTGGGACATCAGCCGGGCCCCTGAACGGGGTGGCAGGCGGTTGCACTTGACTTTACTGCCCCAGTGCTCTGCGTGTGCATGGAGGCGCTCCCCAGGAAGGGACGCACACCCCAGTGGATGTCCCCACAGGGACCCCTCTGTCCCTACCTGTGGGGTGCAGGGCAGGGGCTGTCTTCTCAGCTGGGGAGCATCCTGCCGAGGCTGGAGCCACCCCGAGGCCAGCCAGGGCCTCACTGTGTGACCTCAGCCAGTGGGCTCAACCTGTCTGATCCTTGCTCTTCCCAGAGGACGGGGGCCTATGGCTCCCGCTTGGCCTAGCCGAGGGTTCGGGGCCTGATGTGTGTGCCAGGGCCTTACAAAGCAAGCCTTGTTCTCGGCCAGGCCCGTGGCCAGCTCCAGCTCCAGCTCCAGCTGGGGACCTTTGCAGGGAAAAACTCCACTGGGGGGCGGGGGAAGGCGTGAGTGACAGACGGGCACCAGCCGTGGGAGGGTGCTGCTGGCTGGGGTTTCAGTCTATGGCTGGGAGTGCAGGGCCCACAGCTGCCCTCACCTCCCCCTGCAGCCCGGGCCCGGGGAATGGGGCCGGGGGAAGGCGTGAGCCAAGCCTCCCGTGACCAGCACCCCTTTCCCTCTGCCCCCAGCTCACGCTGCTGGTGGTCCAGGTGAGCATCCTCTACTACGGGGGCCACCTTGTCATCTCCGGGCAGATGACCAGCGGCAACCTCATCTCCTTCATCATCTACGAGTTTGTGCTGGGAGACTGTATGGAGGTGAGGGTGCGGCTTGGGGCCGGGGCCCTGCAGGAGAGAGAGGGCTGTGTGACCCGGGGGAAGTTCCTTGAGCTCTCTGTGCCTCAGTTTCCTCATCAGCACAAAGGAGACAGCGGTAGACCCTACCTGGTGGCACATCCAAAGTGCTCCCTGAAATGCATCGTCATATTATTTACAGTTATATCGGGCATATGTTTTTTTAACCCAGGGACATGTATAGTATAAATTAAGACCCTTTTTTTAAAAACTGGCATTTTCCCAACACTGCGGCAGCTAAAGGAGGAAGGTTCCATTCCTGTTTTGCCACATTCTGGTCAACCGGTTCCTTTAGCTTCCCTGCTTCCGTTTCCTCCTGGGGAGGGGGTGGTGACACCCACCCCGCGGGGCGGTGCTGAGGTTTAGCTGCACCCCCCGTGAGGCGCTGGCTCCTAACACATCAGTGCCGATTACTCCTGTCCTCACTTTTTCATTGTCGTGAATTAGCAGGTGGGACCCCAGCAGCTTCCCAGGGCCCCCAGAATGGATGCCATGTCCTTGCTTTCTCCACACCCCCCTCATCTCCTGGCACCACGGGCGGGGGGATCCCAGGAGCGGGCTCAGTGGGACAGGAACGTGTCTCCTCCCCCCGCAGTCCGTGGGCTCTGTCTACAGCGGCCTGATGCAAGGAGTGGGGGCCGCCGAGAAGGTGTTCGAGTTCATTGACCGGCAGCCAACCATGGTGCACGATGGGAACTTGGCGCCTGACCACGTGGAGGGCCGCGTGGACTTTGAGAACGTGACCTTCACCTACCGCACTCGGCCCCACACCAAAGTCCTGCAGGTGAGGGGGAGGTCGCGGCCTGCCCCGGTCATCCTCCCGCCACCCCCGGCTCTTGCGGCTCCCCCACGCCAGGCCAGGGCAGTGGAGCCGGGAATATGCAAGGTCCCTGCGCCCTGTGCAGCTTGGGCTCCAGTCGGGCTGGGGAAGACTGGCTATTAACAGAAGGGTGGTGTGATAGGAGTCATATGCAGGGCTGATGTAGCAGTCAAGGAGGGCTTCTCGCAGGAGGTGACATTTGAGCTGAAACCTGAACAAGGAGCAGGAGGCGATCAGGTTGCTCTCTGCAGAAAGAACATTCCAGGCAGGGGAGACAAGTATACAAGTGCCACCAGATCCTAGATAAGAGAGCATTCCAGGAGCCAGCGGTACCCAACCATGGCAGAGGGGCCTGGGGTGGGCTAGGAAGGGCGCCCGCCTGTGTCTGGGGCTGGAGCACCAGAGCCAGCGGCCCCACACGGCGGCGTCTGTGTGTTCCTTGCAGAACGTCTCCTTCAGCCTGTCCCCAGGAAAGGTGACTGCACTCGTGGGGCCGTCGGGCAGTGGGAAGAGCTCCTGTGTCAACATCCTGGAGAACTTCTACCCGCTGGAGGGGGGCCGCGTGCTGCTGGACGGGAAGCCCATCAGCGCGTATGACCACAAGTTCCTGCACCGAGTGGTATGTGGCGGCCCTTTCTCCGTCCCAGCTTCTCCCTTGTGAGCCGCAGCACAGATGCAGAGAGGAACCTCGAGTACATGTGTGGTTCAAAGACTAATCACCAATGTAACACCACCCGAATCAAGAAACAGAACACCCCGGCGCTCCAGGAGGCCCTCAGAAGCAACATCTCACCCAACTTTTAAGATCATTATTTCCTTTTTTTTTCTTCCCAAATACAAGCATGAGTTTATTTAGAAAGTCACAGAAGTAGAAAAAGAAAAGTGAGCCATCTGGGCTGCGTGGGCCCAGGAAACAAGTTACAGAGGCAAACAGAGGGCCCTTGGAGCAGAGAGGGTGAGAGGCTGGAACCACAGCACGTGTGTTCATCAGTATGTGGCTTCTGCCCACAACATTATTTGTGAGTTGCATCAGGTTAAGGCTGTGGTTGTAGCTCATTCCTTATCAAGACCGGAGGATAATCCCCTGTGTAAACATGTCACGCGGTCTACTTCTGCGTTCTGCCTTTAACGGATATTGGGGTTGTTTCCTGGTTTGATACCAGCAATGCTGATGTGGACACAGTTGTCCCTGTTTCCTGGTGCACACGGGTGCACGCAGCAGCTGCTTTCCCAGGGTGGATGCACAGCCGTGTTCATAGCTACTGCCACCAGGCTGGTCACACACTTCACACCCCAGCAACAGCAGACGCGAGTCCCAGTAGTTGCACATTTAAGTCATCCCCAGGACTCAAAGGAGGCTGTCGGTGACTGGACAGTTTTGGGTAATCCTTTCGGAAAAGGAGCCTCAGCACCTTACTCTGTGCTGACATGGAGCAGGAACACCCTGGATGGTCGTTCGGGTTGTACCCTGCACAAGAAGCACCAGCTTCTGAGGACGCACCGTTTACGTCATCAACGTTTTTTTAAAAATGTCTTTTTAATGGATTTTAGAGAGGGGAAGTGAGAGAGGGAGAGAGGTAGAAACGTTGATGAGATAGACCAGCCGCCTCCTGCATGCCCCCTGCTGCTGAGGATTGAGCCTGCAACCCTGGCATGTGCCCTAACTGGGAACTGAACTGGTGACCTCTTGGTTCATAGGTTGACACTCAACCACTGAGCCACACTGGCCGGACTCCTAAACACACATTAAGTCATGTGAGAACCTGAGGGTTGGCACAGAGGTTCCACGTAGAGTTCCCTCCCACCTCACCTTTCAAATCTCACCCCGTGACAGTGACCAGCGTTGGCAGTTCAGTAAATATCCCGTCCAGCCTGTTTCCCATCTCTCTCTATATAATCCATCGATATATAAAGGTCCATGTATAGTTTTTAAAGAAAAACAGAACCTGTGTGTGTCTATGACGATTTGATTTTATGGATGCACTGTAATTATTTAACCAATCCCCGATATATGGACAACTAGATTTTAATTTTAATTTTGCTCTTTACAATGTTGCAGTGCTATGCTCCATGCTATCACTTCTGGAGGCCACATTCCTAAAATGGGGACCATGGGACAGCAGCTGCTTTAAGTTGTCCTGTTAGAAGGAGGGAGGTCTGGCCTGTCTGGGCTACGCCCGCCCTCCGGTCGCCCCGTGTGAACCGACTCGCTCACAGAGCTGCCGTCTCCCCTCTCCCTCTCTTTCTCTCTCCTTCCCAGGGCAGGACAGGGCAGACAGCGAGCTCTGTCGGAGGTCGGGGCACTTGGCTTAGGCCAGAGCGGCAAGCTGAGCGGGCCCCAGCCTGGGGGTCGGGGGGGCCGGGGGCCTGTGCAGAAAGCGGATTCCATTGTTGGGAACGAAGAGAGGCGGCTGAAGGCAGCAGCCGGGTGCAGCCCCGATCAGATTTCAGACCCGAGACCCCTGGCGTCAGTCAGCCGGGCCGGGGGCTGGCGAGGTTCCTGGTGACAGCTGGCCGCACGTGTTCCTGGCCTCTCATGCCCCCTCCCTCCTCCCTCCGCAGATCTCCCTGGTGAGCCAGGAGCCCGTGCTGTTCGCCCGCTCCATCACCGACAACATCTCCTACGGCCTGCCCACCGTGCCCTTCGAGATGGTGGTGGAGGCCGCGCAGAAGGCAAACGCCCACGGCTTCATCATGGAGCTCCAGGACGGCTACAACACAGGTACCTCCGGGCCCGGAGCTCCACCCTCGGGGAGGCGACCCTCTCGGTTGGTTACCCATTGCCCTCGGCCGGCTGCCCTTTATTATTTCGGGTGAAATTCACGTCACATAAACGTAGCTGTCTTCTTTCTTTAAATATGTTTTTATTGGTTTTAGAGAGAGGAAGGGAGAGAGAGAAACATCAGTTGGCTGCCTCCTGCACGCCCCCTCCTGGGCATGGAGACAGGACCCCTGCTAACCTCACTTTTCCTGGAAAGAGCAGCCCCGGGGCAGCAGGGAAGGCGGAGGGAGGGGGCTTCTCGCTCACCCCAGGGCTGCCCGGCCTGACCTCCCACTCACCTGTCCCTGTGCCTCCGCCACACAGAGACGGGGGAGAAAGGCGCCCAGCTGTCGGGTGGCCAGAAGCAGCGGGTGGCCATGGCCCGGGCTCTGGTGCGGAACCCGCCTGTCCTTGTCCTGGACGAAGCCACCAGCGCTCTGGACGCAGAGAGCGAGTTCCTGGTGAGTTGCGGGTGATGTTGGAGCAGAGGGTGCTGGCAAGGGCTTGGAGATGGCCAGGGGCTCTTCTGGACGGTCAGCTTCTTACTCTAGGGCATTGTGTCTGTGTGTGTGTGTGTGTTTAAAATGTTTTTATTGATTTTAGAGAGAGAGGAAGGGAGAGGGAGAGGGAGAGAAACATCCATGTGAGAGAGAAACGTCCATCGGCTGCCTCCTGCAGGCCCCCTACTGAGGATCGAACTCACAACCCTGGCACGTGCCCTGACCAGGAATCGAACCGACGACCTTTTAGTGCACAGGCTGGTGCCCGACCACTGGGCCACACCAGCCAGGGCCGTTTCGGTTTTGAGGAAAGGAAAAGAGGGAGCCATGGGGGCCCTGGGGTAAGGGCGTCCCAGGAAGAGGGGCAGCAGGCGCACAGGCCCCGAGCGGGTTCACAGCCCAGCCCGAAGGCCGGTGTGTCTGGTGGGCGAGGCAAGGACAGAGTCAGGGGGAGACACAAGCGCCTCGGGCCCCAGTCAAGAGTTTGGACTTTTAAAAAAAGTTAATAGGTTTTTATGTTTTAGAGCAGTTTCAGGTTTCAAAAAAACTGAGCAGAAGTACAGAGAGTTTCCACATGTCCCCTTTCCCGCCACCAACAGCCTTCCCTGTTATTAACATCTCGCATTCTCGTGGTACGTTTGCCAAAGCTGACGGACCACCATTAAGNCCTCATCTCCTGGCACCACGGGCGGGGGGATCCCAGGAGCGGGCTCAGTGGGACAGGAACGTGTCTCCTCCCCCCGCAGTCCGTGGGCTCTGTCTACAGCGGCCTGATGCAAGGAGTGGGGGCCGCCGAGAAGGTGTTCGAGTTCATTGACCGGCAGCCAACCATGGTGCACGATGGGAACTTGGCGCCTGACCACGTGGAGGGCCGCGTGGACTTTGAGAACGTGACCTTCACCTACCGCACTCGGCCCCACACCAAAGTCCTGCAGGTGAGGGGGAGGTCGCGGCCTGCCCCGGTCATCCTCCCGCCACCCCCGGCTCTTGCGGCTCCCCCACGCCAGGCCAGGGCAGTGGAGCCGGGAATATGCAAGGTCCCTGCGCCCTGTGCAGCTTGGGCTCCAGTCGGGCTGGGGAAGACTGGCTATTAACAGAAGGGTGGTGTGATAGGAGTCATATGCAGGGCTGATGTAGCAGTCAAGGAGGGCTTCTCGCAGGAGGTGACATTTGAGCTGAAACCTGAACAAGGAGCAGGAGGCGATCAGGTTGCTCTCTGCAGAAAGAACATTCCAGGCAGGGGAGACAAGTATACAAGTGCCACCAGATCCTAGATAAGAGAGCATTCCAGGAGCCAGCGGTACCCAACCATGGCAGAGGGGCCTGGGGTGGGCTAGGAAGGGCGCCCGCCTGTGTCTGGGGCTGGAGCACCAGAGCCAGCGGCCCCACACGGCGGCGTCTGTGTGTTCCTTGCAGAACGTCTCCTTCAGCCTGTCCCCAGGAAAGGTGACTGCACTCGTGGGGCCGTCGGGCAGTGGGAAGAGCTCCTGTGTCAACATCCTGGAGAACTTCTACCCGCTGGAGGGGGGCCGCGTGCTGCTGGACGGGAAGCCCATCAGCGCGTATGACCACAAGTTCCTGCACCGAGTGGTATGTGGCGGCCCTTTCTCCGTCCCAGCTTCTCCCTTGTGAGCCGCAGCACAGATGCAGAGAGGAACCTCGAGTACATGTGTGGTTCAAAGACTAATCACCAATGTAACACCACCCGAATCAAGAAACAGAACACCCCGGCGCTCCAGGAGGCCCTCAGAAGCAACATCTCACCCAACTTTTAAGATCATTATTTCCTTTTTTTTTCTTCCCAAATACAAGCATGAGTTTATTTAGAAAGTCACAGAAGTAGAAAAAGAAAAGTGAGCCATCTGGGCTGCGTGGGCCCAGGAAACAAGTTACAGAGGCAAACAGAGGGCCCTTGGAGCAGAGAGGGTGAGAGGCTGGAACCACAGCACGTGTGTTCATCAGTATGTGGCTTCTGCCCACAACATTATTTGTGAGTTGCATCAGGTTAAGGCTGTGGTTGTAGCTCATTCCTTATCAAGACCGGAGGATAATCCCCTGTGTAAACATGTCACGCGGTCTACTTCTGCGTTCTGCCTTTAACGGATATTGGGGTTGTTTCCTGGTTTGATACCAGCAATGCTGATGTGGACACAGTTGTCCCTGTTTCCTGGTGCACACGGGTGCACGCAGCAGCTGCTTTCCCAGGGTGGATGCACAGCCGTGTTCATAGCTACTGCCACCAGGCTGGTCACACACTTCACACCCCAGCAACAGCAGACGCGAGTCCCAGTAGTTGCACATTTAAGTCATCCCCAGGACTCAAAGGAGGCTGTCGGTGACTGGACAGTTTTGGGTAATCCTTTCGGAAAAGGAGCCTCAGCACCTTACTCTGTGCTGACATGGAGCAGGAACACCCTGGATGGTCGTTCGGGTTGTACCCTGCACAAGAAGCACCAGCTTCTGAGGACGCACCGTTTACGTCATCAACGTTTTTTTAAAAATGTCTTTTTAATGGATTTTAGAGAGGGGAAGTGAGAGAGGGAGAGAGGTAGAAACGTTGATGAGATAGACCAGCCGCCTCCTGCATGCCCCCTGCTGCTGAGGATTGAGCCTGCAACCCTGGCATGTGCCCTAACTGGGAACTGAACTGGTGACCTCTTGGTTCATAGGTTGACACTCAACCACTGAGCCACACTGGCCGGACTCCTAAACACACATTAAGTCATGTGAGAACCTGAGGGTTGGCACAGAGGTTCCACGTAGAGTTCCCTCCCACCTCACCTTTCAAATCTCACCCCGTGACAGTGACCAGCGTTGGCAGTTCAGTAAATATCCCGTCCAGCCTGTTTCCCATCTCTCTCTATATAATCCATCGATATATAAAGGTCCATGTATAGTTTTTAAAGAAAAACAGAACCTGTGTGTGTCTATGACGATTTGATTTTATGGATGCACTGTAATTATTTAACCAATCCCCGATATATGGACAACTAGATTTTAATTTTAATTTTGCTCTTTACAATGTTGCAGTGCTATGCTCCATGCTATCACTTCTGGAGGCCACATTCCTAAAATGGGGACCATGGGACAGCAGCTGCTTTAAGTTGTCCTGTTAGAAGGAGGGAGGTCTGGCCTGTCTGGGCTACGCCCGCCCTCCGGTCGCCCCGTGTGAACCGACTCGCTCACAGAGCTGCCGTCTCCCCTCTCCCTCTCTTTCTCTCTCCTTCCCAGGGCAGGACAGGGCAGACAGCGAGCTCTGTCGGAGGTCGGGGCACTTGGCTTAGGCCAGAGCGGCAAGCTGAGCGGGCCCCAGCCTGGGGGTCGGGGGGGCCGGGGGCCTGTGCAGAAAGCGGATTCCATTGTTGGGAACGAAGAGAGGCGGCTGAAGGCAGCAGCCGGGTGCAGCCCCGATCAGATTTCAGACCCGAGACCCCTGGCGTCAGTCAGCCGGGCCGGGGGCTGGCGAGGTTCCTGGTGACAGCTGGCCGCACGTGTTCCTGGCCTCTCATGCCCCCTCCCTCCTCCCTCCGCAGATCTCCCTGGTGAGCCAGGAGCCCGTGCTGTTCGCCCGCTCCATCACCGACAACATCTCCTACGGCCTGCCCACCGTGCCCTTCGAGATGGTGGTGGAGGCCGCGCAGAAGGCAAACGCCCACGGCTTCATCATGGAGCTCCAGGACGGCTACAACACAGGTACCTCCGGGCCCGGAGCTCCACCCTCGGGGAGGCGACCCTCTCGGTTGGTTACCCATTGCCCTCGGCCGGCTGCCCTTTATTATTTCGGGTGAAATTCACGTCACATAAACGTAGCTGTCTTCTTTCTTTAAATATGTTTTTATTGGTTTTAGAGAGAGGAAGGGAGAGGGAGAGAGAGAAACACTGACGTGAGAGAGAAACATCAGTTGGCTGCCTCCTGCACGCCCCCTCCTGGGCATGGAGACAGGACCCCTGCTAACCTCACTTTTCCTGGAAAGAGCAGCCCCGGGGCAGCAGGGAAGGCGGAGGGAGGGGGCTTCTCGCTCACCCCAGGGCTGCCCGGCCTGACCTCCCACTCACCTGTCCCTGTGCCTCCGCCACACAGAGACGGGGGAGAAAGGCGCCCAGCTGTCGGGTGGCCAGAAGCAGCGGGTGGCCATGGCCCGGGCTCTGGTGCGGAACCCGCCTGTCCTTGTCCTGGACGAAGCCACCAGCGCTCTGGACGCAGAGAGCGAGTTCCTGGTGAGTTGCGGGTGATGTTGGAGCAGAGGGTGCTGGCAAGGGCTTGGAGATGGCCAGGGGCTCTTCTGGACGGTCAGCTTCTTACTCTAGGGCATTGTGTCTGTGTGTGTGTGTGTGTTTAAAATGTTTTTATTGATTTTAGAGAGAGAGGAAGGGAGAGGGAGAGGGAGAGAAACATCCATGTGAGAGAGAAACGTCCATCGGCTGCCTCCTGCAGGCCCCCTACTGAGGATCGAACTCACAACCCTGGCACGTGCCCTGACCAGGAATCGAACCGACGACCTTTTAGTGCACAGGCTGGTGCCCGACCACTGGGCCACACCAGCCAGGGCCGTTTCGGTTTTGAGGAAAGGAAAAGAGGGAGCCATGGGGGCCCTGGGATAAGGGCGTCCCAGGAAGAGGGGCAGCAGGCGCACAGGCCCCGAGCGGGTTCACAGCCCAGCCCGAAGGCCGGTGTGTCTGGTGGGCGAGGCAAGGACAGAGTCAGGGGGAGACACAAGCGCCTCGGGCCCCAGTCAAGAGTTTGGACTTTTAAAAAAAGTTAATAGGTTTTTATGTTTTAGAGCAGTTTCAGGTTTCAAAAAAACTGAGCAGAAGTACAGAGAGTTTCCACATGTCCCCTTTCCCGCCACCAACAGCCTTCCCTGTTATTAACATCTCGCATTCTCGTGGTACGTTTGCCAAAGCTGACGGACCACCATTAAGACGTCATCGCTAGCTGGGGTCCGGGCCTTTACGTTAGAGGTCCCTGCTGTGGGTTTTGACGAACGGAGGATGCTGGGTGTCCACCCCACAGACACAGACTCGCCCCACAGCCTGGAGTTTGGGTTTTATATCAAGGGGAACACGAAGCCGTTGGAGGGCCTGGAGCAGGAGCTCACCCAGAACTGACTAAACGTTCTTACGCCCACGGGGGGAGTGGGACAGGGAGCCGGGCAGGGAGGCCGCGGACGTCCAGGAGTGGCGGTGGAGGTGGAGAGGCGGGACAGAGCGGGGTGACTGGGGAGATGGGGTCCACAGATCTGCTGTGAGCTGGATTTGGGCCACAAGGGAGGGGGGGGAACGGAGGGCGATGGTTTTGCTGGCGTGAGCTTTGGAGGCCGATGGTGAGACCGTCCCCCAAGGCCAAGGTTAGAGGATGGGGCGGGAAGGCCGGAAGATGACCCGGTTAGGGCCCATCTGTCAGTCACTGGGCACTGCCCTTGTTGCCAGTCGCTGGGCCCTGGCCCCCGGGAACGGAAACCCAGGGAGCAGGTCCTGGCCTTACGACGAATGGGGAACTGAGCTCAGCGAGGCTCCGCGCCACTGGGAGGCGGCAGAGCTGGGATCGAAGCCGGATGGGGT